TTCCATTAGGTTATATCCAAGTAACGTCTTCCTATTGGCAACGACTTGAAGGCACAAACTAAACTGTTCATCATTTATAAATTAAACGGCATTTCCCTTTAACTCCAGAGTGATTAATTGTAGATTAATTCACTGCAAGGAGCTTTGATAGACATTTTCCCTTGCATTGAATATTCTGCTAACTTCTGCATATTCTTACCATGACTGCATGGAGAGTTACAACAGAATTTCTCCAATCTAATTTTTTTTAAACATAATTAGCATATAAAATGCAGAGTGTGGCAACGATAATTAAATAATGACCCTTTGACAAAAAAGGGCAGCAAAATTTGTCTTTTCTAAATAAGACAGACCTTTACGTAACTAATTTGATCCAAAGTTTATATCTAACCTGTTTACTCATACTTTAGATGAAAAGCAGGGTGAAAATGATTTTTTGAATGTGCTAATTAAAACTTTTCAGGGTTCATATTCTTCATCACCTGCATTGCAGACACAGTCAGTAGAATGCCAGAGACAGAGCGTGTCATATGATATGGCCTCATGTGATTGGCTCAGGAAGCAGGATATCAGGACGAAACCAAACTGCAGAAGTGAATGAAGTTGAACTTCTCCTCAGCTATGTTTATCAAACTGTCTTTTGGTGCATTATTTTTCCACTCATGCTTATAAACTAGTGAATTATATCTTAATTAATATGATCAAAATCTAAAAATGAAGAGTTGGAGGTTTTGATTGTTGGTGCAACACAGGAAGGAAGTCACTGTGACACATGAGGCTCATTTTATTACAATCAGCACTTTTCTTCAACTTTGTTTGGAAAGATTGTGTTCCCAAAAGACAGTTTTTCTGAAATGTATGTTTTGCAATTAAATATTCAATAAATCATTTCAGTTTTAGCAAATGGAATAAAAGAGAGATAGCTGAATTCAAAGATTCCCTTTAATCCATCAAAAACTTTATCAAAGATGAGTATTCTGACTTCAAACAAAGCGGCTCACCATGTTGCATCAAATAAAACTCATTCCAGCGTTCCAAAGTTTAGCTTATAGCTAATTTAAGAAATGATCAATCGACTACCTGCGAAGTAGATGTTAGTGTTTTCAGGTATGTGGTACAAACTGCTACCACCAGGATGATAGAAGCGAACATATTTTACTGGCAGGTTTCACCATTTTAAGTTAATTTAGGAGTTAATAAACAGTCTCAGGGGGGTGATCATAGCGCTCTGCATCAGCAGTGCTGTCTGTCTCCCTTCCAACTCCCAGTTCAGCTTCTCTGACTGGTTGATGTGGTACATCGAGCAGCAAACATTCATTTTTTCCAACTCCAGCAGCTGCTTCTTGTAAGGCGCTTCCCGCACCTCAGAGGCGCTGCTCCTGCTGCTCAGACGCGCTGCAGGACCTTTCGATGTGGCTTGATGTACGTCAATCATTGACTTTGCATGGAATAACATAGGGCAGACCACGCTTCAATATTAAATCAAAGATATCTGCGACAAGCTCTCTGCGACACGCTGCTGAGGGGAGTATATCCAACCCTTACGTCTCGGTACGTTAATGGCCAATTTATGCTTCTGATGCATAGCCTCTGCAAACGTCAAATCTGTCTCTGCGACCACGCTACAGAGGCTCTGTAACCGACATTGCGTACCTCAAAAAAATCCTAACCAGACGCCGGACGGTCGCACACCCGTGCAGACCTCAAGCGGAAGTGCGCAGACAAGCAGTGATTGGTCCTTGGAATGCAATTCCGGCTGTCTGTGTGGTCGTCCTTCTCGATTCGATGCCGGGGCGCGCCATTTTAAAAAAACGAGGAGTAATAACAACAATGGATAACCACGACGAAAGGTTGATCGAGGAGGTTAGGAAATACAAACACTATTACGATGCCTCAGACATGTTGTTTTGGAAGATAAATACCCCCGCAGGCGCCTCCGAATAAGTTTTCGTGACCATCCGCTGAAGTTCTCGCGAGTTCTCCAATAGGCTCCCCCCTGCGCTTTGGTGGGAAACTGCTGAGCGTCCCTAGAAATTCCAGACCGACGGTGCAGAAGCATAGCAGCAAAACTGGTTCCCAATCAGACCCAAGCAGCATTTAATGTGCCCTAAAGGCTTCCAGGTGACAGCCCCGCGGGGCATGGCCCCCACACCCTGAGGGCTTCCTCTACGCCCATGCAAGCAGGACTTCCTGACTCTATAAAGTTAAACAAGCTAAAAGAAGAGCTCACCAGAACCACTCGCTGCCGAAGCTTGGCACAGAAAACACCCCCCAGTGAATGAAGATCCCGAACTTGGCCTGGTCGAACCAGTCCGGCAGCGGTCTGGAATCGATGGACTCCCAGGTCGGTTCGTATCTGGCTCCGCAGAAGCCGAGGAGCGGGATCCAAACCAGCAGGGAGAGTAGAGTTAAAGCTCCCATTTTAAAGCGAAGTCTGGCAAAAAATGATCCGGTCCGGCAGCTTTAATAGCTATAAACACCAGTATGAAGCAAGGAAATCACGGGATTTATCACATGATGCTCTGGGTAGTTCAAAACACACGAACAGGTAAAATAAAAGAAGGTTTCTTCCTTTACCGCTGGGGTGCGTTCGATTCTTATGAAAGAACATACCGGTACAGTGACACCTAGCGATGGCGATGGATAACGCCACGACACCGCCCTCCCGGGAAGGACGGGTCTGATTGTGTGGCATCAACATTTTGCGCATGCGCAGATTGCATTGATCCCGGAAGCTTTGAATGTTTTGGTTTTTCAGAGCTGCAGCATTGCTAAGGAGGAAAAACAGAGGCACACATGCATGGCTACATTGACTGCCACTGTCACATCTCTGCGGGGGATTTTGACAAGGTAGGGGGGAAAGAATAAATGCGTTTTTTTTCTTTACAGCCTTTAAAAAAACTAAACGAAGTTTTAACTTGTTTCTTCTCATCAGGACGTGGAAGAGGTTATTGAGAATTCAAAGAAGGTGAGATTTCTCTGCAGGTTTAAGATGTTTCCACTGTTTTTTAATGCGTGCAGCCAAAAAATGTTGGTAAAAGTTGGATGTTTTTATGTAAAAGTTAAACTCAAATACGTGCATAACTGTGCATAAAGTCAACAGAGCTGCATATTAGGTATTTACTCTCCAGGTGTTCAATATTTATATTTTTAATACACTTTACAATACAGTATTTTATTGGTTTATTTTTTTAACTCTTCCCTATTATGTTATTCTTATACACTTTTCTAAGCTCCATATTTATGAGACCATTTCTTCTATAATCTTGTTTCTGCTGTAAAGACCAGAATTTCCCCATGAAAATAAAGTTTTTTTTAATTCTATTCTATTCTAACACTGAAAGAATTAGATGTTAGCTTTCTTCTTACCAATATTTTAATAAGAGTGTAACTATGTCCCCCATGGTTGAATTGTATATTTGAAGATCCTACAGAGCTGCATTGAGATTTAAGATATATATGTATTGGTGTGTAAATGGATTTTATGTAGGGGTATCAGGGTAGAGGGGGCTGACTAAATATCATAACCATTACATTAAGAGCTGTTTATACTTTTCCTTTCACTTATATCTTTCTGTTGATTTATTACATGCAATCCAGATTTATAGTTGTATTTGAAAAGAGACAATGGAAGAGAAAACGTCTTGACACGGGTAGATAAAATAAAGAATGAATTCATTTATTTTTATTTCTTAGGCCGGCCTGCTGGCGGTTTTGGCTGTGGCTGAGCATGCTGGAGAATTTACCAAAATCATTGAACTATCAGAGAGGTACAAAAAATAATAAACATCATAATAACTTGAATGTTTAAATGTTTTTGGTTGTCGCTAATGGCAGCTTCTGCTTTTTGTTTTCCTTAGATTTCCAGGTTTTATTTTCCCCTGCTTAGGAGTTCATCCTGTTCAAGAAGTTCCTCCTGAGCAACAAAGGAGTGTTTCTCTTCAGGTACAGAGCAGTGGATCAACATCAGAATTAGATAGATCTTTAAAGAGTTTACAGGTCACTAAAGAATGCTCTTTATTTTATACAGGACCTGGATGCAGCACTACCAGTCATAGAACAATACAAAGACCAGCTTGTCGCAGTTGGAGAGGTGACAGTTCACGCTTCACCTACATGAGGAGGCGTTTGGTTTTTCAGGATGTTTAAGTCGGCTTCCGGTTTCTGGAGTCTGTTTCAGCTTTTGGAGACAAACTTCTCAGGATCGACCAGCAGTCCATCACTTACACAGAGAGAAATAAGTCAAAAAAAAGAACCTGGACAAGAACCTGAAGGAAAACATGCAAATATTCTATATTGAGTTCAAACTGCTGTTCAGGGCTAACTGTCAAAACTCTAACAGCTATCTATACTCAGACATGGCTTTTAGCTTCATTTCTGGGATGATGTCTGCAGCTGTGGAACCAGATGGGACTCAGGAAAGAAGTAGATTTACAGGATTACTATACTTAAGTAAAGTTTATGAAAATTTATACTTTTAATTTTTTTATGATTAGATTAGATGAGCTTTATTGATCTCACGGCGGAGAAATTCATTGGTCACATATTGGCATAGTAATTAAAGAATGTGCAAACAAGGAGGAAAAAGGTGCATTAAGAATAAATAAGCAAGCACTGTATATACAGTATATCAAGATAAGAATAAGAATTAAGGTGCAAGTGTACTTGTATCACACACAATGAAAAAAAAAAAATAAATAAAAATAAAAAATACAAGGGAGTAACACAGATTTGAGGTGACATATGTACAATCTGGATGGCTTATATACAGGTGGATTGACTTTTACATTAAAGTGTAGTAGGTGAGGAATAACGGTGAGGTAGTGGTGACTATTCTATTCAAATACACTCACCGGCCACTTTATTAGGTACCCCATGCTAGTAACGGGTTGGACCCCCTTTTGC